GGGAAGCCTGCTTCTCCCTCCCCCACTCCTCCTGCTTGTGTTCCCTCTCTCGCTGTGTCTCTCTCTGTCAAATAAATAAAATCTTTAAAAAAAATAAATAACTTCATATTAAAAAGGCCAACATATGTGAAGGCAGTACTTTCTCTTACTTGATAAAAATAAATTCAGATTTCTCTTATCAACAGTTTCTTTTTTTTTTAAGATTTTATTTATTTATTTGAGAGAGAGAATGAGATAGAGCATGAGAAGGGGGAGGGTCAGAGGGAGAAGCAGACTCCCCGCTGAGCGGGGAGCCCGATGCAGGACTGGATCCCAGGACTCCAGGATCATGACCTGAGCCGAAGACAGTCGCTTAATTGACTGAGCCATCCAGGCGCCCTTATCAACAGTTTCTTTTTACTATGTTATGTTAGTCACCATACAGTACATCATTTGTTTTTGATGTAGTGTTCCATGAGTTCATTGTTGTCGTATAGCACCCAATGCTCATTGCAATACGTGCACAGTTTCTTTTGATCAGCAAATTGCTTTTGTGCTATTTTCCGGGAGCCAGTGTTCTACAGAATTCAACATCTTACACATATTTTCACTTGTTTCCTCCCTTCCTCATGTTCCCCTGAAATCAACAACTATTAACAATTTCTTGTGTATACTTGAGAAATTTTTATAATTTACTTGTATTTAATTGCTGGTAAAGCTTTTCTGTGTGATAATTACTATTTATGTTGCCCCCATGTTATTTTTGTCAGATATATTTCCTGTTTGGTTGCTTTCATATTAATATTTGTTTTATAAAATTCTCTTGAAAATTAAAAAAAAAGTGTTATAAACATTTCTCTATGTTCGGTATCAGTTTTTTTTCCCCCCAGGACTCAGAAGAGTATTTTTCTCTCTACTGTCTATCTTTTTATGCTAGTCCACTTTTTCCTGTTGTCTTATGACCTATCAAGAATATATGTTATGACAACTAATGAATCATTGAACACTACACCAAAAACTAATGATGTACTATATGTGGGCTAATTGAATTTAAATTAAAAAAAGAAAAAAGAAAAAATATATATGAGATGATATGAAATAAAGACCTAAATTAATTACTTCTTTTCTATACTAATATGCTGCTGTCCAAAAAACATTAAACAATTCATCCTATTTCTCTCCAGTTTGTCAAAAGTTAAAAGATTATCCTTTGAGTTTACATTATTCTGTATCATCAATAACTTTTACTATTTTTTTAAGTATATACTCTTTTTTAAAACTATATGAAAGTTTTTAGTAGTTGACTCTTTTCTGGGGAGGCGTTAAGTCTAATTCAATGAGTTCATTCATTATTTAAATCTATTTGCAATTTGTTTATTCTTCCAGAAGAGTTTCACTATATTTCAGGTTTTAATAATTAAAAGGAGTATAGGTCTATAATAAATGACGATATTTTAAAAATTAGTGCTAATTTAATCATCTGTACATCCTATTTGGTCTCTGGTTATTCTAAAAAGATTTTTTTGTTTTAGCAGTACAAAAATATACAGATTATCTTTGGTGGGAGAATTGGGGAGTAATTATCTTATTACTTTATAATTATAGTTTTTAGTTTTTGCTGTAGGAACATAAATTGCTAGGCCACATTTTAAAATATGAAGAAAAAGCAATCTTTTTACTGTTACCACTTAAATCCCGATATCTATTTTAAGGTATTGCACAAGAAAGAAAACCTTTCTTAAGTTTATCTGTAATCATTAACTGAAAGTATATAACTCTTTGGTTATCTTGAACATTGAACTTTTGCAGATTTTTCAAAGTTATTTAATGTAATCATTTATTTTTTTTATTTTTTTAAAGATTTTATTTATTTATTTGACAGAGAGAGAGTTAGCGAGAGCAGAAACAAGCAGGGGGAGTGGGAAAGGGAGAAGCAGGCTTCCCGCTGAGCAGAGATCCCAGGACTCTGGGATCATGACCTGAGCCGAAGGCAGACGCTTAACCGACTGAGCCACCCAGCTGCCCCGAGATGAACAATTTTTAAAGAATTAATAAGGGGATCTAGAATCAGAGTGAGACAAATATAAAGACAATCTTAATTTTTTCATATTAATTTTCTCAAACATATAAGAAAGTAGGAGATAGCATAATGAATACTCATATATTCATTCCCTAGATTTAACATTTTGCCACATTTGTTATCATTTTTTACCCTAGGTATTTTAAAGTGAAAAGCATCATGACATTTTATCTTTACACACATCTAAAAAAAAGTCTGTGTTCTTTCAGCTTCTTAGGGCTCAGTGATATTACCGTAACACTACGAAAAAAGAAAACAAACAAGTTAATGAGTTCAAAAGAGTTTGTAAAGTCAAGTTACTTCAGCAACTTGAATAGTTTGAAATACCAAGTATATATTTTATCAGTCATTAAAAAATCTTTATTGAATACATCCTATATATTAGGAAAGAAGGATATAAAGAGTAATTTTATATTTTTAATCTGGTATCAGTTCAGAATATGATTGTTTATATACAAATATTTAATTAAGAGATTGTTCAACAAAATGAGTCATTACAAAGTACTTGATTGTGCAGTTTTACTAAAGTAGAATCAGATTCTTCTGTGAAAAGCAAAGTTGCTATTGTAATGAATAAACTGTGTAATGCCTTGCATTACTCCCATTTCCAGTGAAGTCAGTGTGCTCTTTGAATCCTGGGTTAGAGAGAGTACTTGTGTTTTTCAGACAACATCTCTCAGGCTGTGCTTTTGTAGCTTCATCCTCAAACGTATCCTTACTTTTTGTTTTAATTTGATTTTGCTTAAATTGAGGGGGAGCAGGGATAGAGCACTCAGTGGTTTTTCCTTGCCCTAGAGCAATCTTTTTAAAGTCAGTATCATATGGTATTGTTATATAAACCAATGGATGTATAAGATTCCATCATACGGGTTCTATGACCTTATTAGTTGTTCTCCAGAACCTGTAGCCTATGTCTTTTATCATTCTTTCTAATCTCATTCTAGCTTAGTAGGGAGAGAGTAACTCTTGAGTCAATGAGAAATTTTGGTATGGGAATTTCAGGTAGAGCAAGCAGTCACTAGTATTCATTAAATTTTATACAAAATTCTATTCTACTTAATGTATTACTTATTCTTCCAACAGGGGGTGGCATAACAGACAGAAATCTACAAAGGATCCTTGAGGGTTCTGGTGCTACAGAATTTCACTGTTCTGCTCGGTCTGCTAGAGATTCAGGAATGAAATTTCGGTAAAAATGTATTCTTTGATTCATACAAGAAGGGACAGATTAATCTTTACATCGTTAGAGGAAAACCTTAGTTGATGGCTGATTAATGAATAGAATGTTGTGATTAATATGTAAGTACTGCAGTCATTTTTGCAGTTTTTCAACTGCAAAATGGTTTTATCCTGCCTCACATAAGCAGGCTCTTCTGAATATAGGTGAACTTTATATTTTTAAGTCATTGCTGAACTTAGACCGCTTAATAATAAACCCTAATTCAGCAGCTAAGCTTCAAATGAGTCAGATATGTATGTATGCCCATTCAACTCTGATTTCCTTTAGCAGAGTTAATAATTATGGTATAAGGATGGAAGAGTCGTAGTCATTTTTATCCCTCCTACCTTTAATACTTAGTCTTCTCTCAGCTTTGCTATTTTTAGTTATTTTGAAATTATACCACCGTTAAGAAATTGAAACTATTGAGTGTTTATTATACTTTAGAAGAATCCTATAATTTAATAGTTAGTAGTTTATTATTTCAATTTAGAATTGGGAAAAATGAGATGTAAAAGAAGCAAGATCTTTAGAACTACATTTCTAGATATAAAATTAAGTATATTGTCAGGTATATTTGGCTACTAGGTGTTTCAAGTAATTAATAAAAATTATGAAATGTGGGAATCCAGGGTCCTTTACCTACCTGTGTTCTTGAACCATTAAATAGTGTATAAAATGAAGGGCCAGTAGGAGGGCTCATTTAACAACTTATATAACAATCTGTCTTTTTATTATTTCTGTTGCAGAAATTTCTCTGTTGCCATGGGAGCCTCTCTTTCTAGCTCAGAATATTCTCAAAAGGTAACAGATGTGGCACAAGTAAGGACTTTGAATGCTATTGCAAAGAATATTCTGGTTTAGCCAGAGCTCTCTGAGAGACATGGATATCACAAGATGAAGGTAGAAGAGTAGTCTGTAATTATGACACAGCTTTAAACTTCTTCTCTGGCCAGGACAGTCACAGTTTAAGTCTCACATGGCCATGGAGAATGTTTTCAAGAAGACAAAGAATTCAAGCAGGAGCTACAATCACTTCCTTTGCTTAATCTTGCCAGCCATCTCTGTTATCATGGTTAAATATGGTCTGTGCTTCTTCCACAGACAGAGGTTTAGTCTGTTTTGTGGAATTAACTGATGAACTCGGAAAACTGAACTGTAAGGTATGAATTTAGAGTGTGACTTCAGGGTCAATTTAATAACCATATTTTGCTTTTTCATTTGTAAAATAAAAATTTCCATTCTGTTATGGTAGTCTTTTTTTAAATTTAAATTCAATTTAATTAACATGTAGTATATTATTAGTATCAGAGTATAGAATTTAGTGATTCATCAGTTGCATATAGCGGGCAGTGCTCATTCCATCACGTGCCCTCCTTAATGCCCAACACCCAGTTACTCCATCCTCCCACCGCCCTCCCCTCCAGCAACCCTCAGTTTGTTTCCTATAGTTAAGAGTCTCTTATGGTTTGTCTCCCTCTTTGTTCTTGTCTTATTTTATTTTTTCTTCCCTTCCCTTATGTTCATCTGTTTGTTTCTTAAATTCCACATATGAGTGAAATCAAATGATATTTGTCTTTCTCTGACAGATTTATTTCACTTAGCATAATACCCTCTAGTTCCATCCACGTCATTGCAAATGGCAAGATTTCCTTCTTTTTGATGGCTGAATAATATTCCATTTGTGTGTGTGTGTGTGTGTGTGTGTATGTGTGTGTATAAAACACATCTTTATCCATTCATCTGTCAATGGACATCTGGGCTCTTTCCATATTTTGGCTATTGTGGACATTGCTGAATACGGTCTATAGCCAAATATAAAAGGGAAAATTTTTTTTATTTCATTTTTTCTTTATATTATGTACTCATTAGATGGGCAAGACACTAAGGATACAGAGTAAAATGGTACAGCATAAAAATTTCCAGATGTGGGAAGCAGGATATAAAAGTTTTCAGACTTATAAAGGCAGAAGTGATCTCTAGTGTTTACCAGATTACTTCTACCTCTATTCCCAGATAGAGAAATGACCTAGCCAGAAGGTTCATATAATAATTTACAAAGACCTATAGTAAAAATTGGAGAGGTTATAGATGTTAGCAAAATAACTGTTTCTTTCAACTGAGGCCACAGATAGGGAGAATGGATTCTAGTGATGAAAGATGCTTTTCCTGTGAGCAGGTCCCAAATTGTGAAGTTAATCACTAGCTTTATCTATCACTTTCATATTTATAATCTCATTTTATATTAATAACACACTGGTAATAGAACTGTTGTTTCTATTTTAAGAGAGTAATTGAAGCATAATATAAAGAGCTTGCCAACTTAGAAAGTTAGTTAGTGTAGAATATTTGCTGAGTAATTTATGAAAAATTTAAAAACTAACAATAATCTCAGTTGTTTCTTTTCTTGCTTGTTCAGACTATTAGTAACGATAATAAATATTTCAAAAAATAGTTTTCATTATTGACTTGAAATATAGATACAGAAATGTAAGTATCCCATACATACACACATATAATCATATTTAGTGTTTTGGCCCAACCCTACCCCATGCTTGGACTTCACTGTATGATCTTCCAAAGACAACAGCAAGCCATCTTACCATCTCTTTTTAAAATACAAATTAACTAGGGATGTGAGAGGTAGTATGAATTGCTCAAACTTTAACAAAATTAATGTTGTTTATGAGACTTGAATGCTAGGCTACTAGCCTTCAGGTCTTCTGCTTTAAGATGTTTCTGGCATATGGATGTGGTACAGAGAGCAATACTCCTGGGCAAATAAGACACACCTGGGATATCCAAGTTCCAGCTTAAGCATGAGAAAGTTGACTTAATTTTTTCAACTTTAATCCCCTCATTTGTAAGTCAGGAATAATAACTAAACCATGGTTCCTGGTTAAACGATATATTCAAACACCAAATACATAGTGAGTACCCATTAAGTGTTAGTTCTTTTCTTCTAATTTAGCTTTCTAGTATCAGTCTTTGATAGTTTAAAAGCCCTTCTGGGGGAAGCTAGGCATTGACTATTGAAGCTAACACTTTGCCTTCTGCTATGTGAATATAAAAGAAGCATAAGGTAATTCCTACCTTGATTTTATTTTTCTACACTTTAGTCCTGTTTTTAAATATTTACTGATTATTTCATATGTATAAGTTTCTTCTCAACAGTATTATAAGTATTTTGAGGCTAAGGGACCATGTCTTTATATTTTTATATATTTCTCATTGCACACATCAAATTGTATACTCATAGTATTGATTACCTTGCTAGTGGAATAAGAGTGCTGGATTGTCAGTCCTGACTATACTACCTTTGGTAACTATGCTGGGTATTTTTGGTTTACCCCTCCAGATCCATTCTTCACTTTGTTCTGTAAACTGAATCCAGCAACGTAAAAGTCATTATACACTATGACCAAGTAGGACTTACACTAAGGAATGCAATTGCTCGTTTAACATCCAAAAGTCAAACACCATATTGATAGAATAAGCCATAAAAGTCACACAATCTACCCAACACAGAAAAAGCATTTGACAAAATCCTACATCCTTTCATAATAAAAACACTCAACAAACTTGGAATAGAGGAAACTTCCTCACCCTGATAAAGAGTATCTGTAACAAAACAAAAACACACAACTAACATCATACTTAATATTTTACTTAAGAAATAAGACAAGATGTCCACTTTCACCATTCTTATTCAACATTGTGCTAAAGGTTCTAGTGAGGGCTATTAGGCAAGAAAAAGAAATGAAAAGCATCCAGATTGGACAGGAAGAGAAAACACTTTCTGTTTTTAGTGACATGATCTTGTATATAGACAATTCTAAGGAATACAAACACAAAAGTTAAATGAGTTCAGCAAGTTTGCAGGATATAAAGTCAATATAGAAAATCAGATGTATTGCTATACACCAGCAATTAACAATCTTAAAATGTAATTAAGAAAACAATTTCATTTATAATAGTATTATCAAAAAATAAAATGCTTAGGAATAAAGAAGTGTTAAAAGAAGTGTTAGACTGTACACTAAAAACTACAAAGCATTGTTGAAAGAAATTTAAACAGACCTAAGATAAATAAAAGACATCCCAGGGCGCCTGGGTGGCTCAGTCAATTAAGTGTCCAACTCTTTTTTTTTTAAATTTTATTTATTTGTATGAGAGAGAGCACGCACAAGAGGGGGGGAGCGGGAGAGGGAGAAGCAGGCTTCCCGCCGAGCAGGGAGCCCGATGCGGGACTCGATCCCGGGACTCTGGGATCATGATCTGAGCCGAAGGCAGTCGCTTAACCAACTGAGCCACCCAGGCGCCCAAGTGTCTAACTCTTGATTTCAGCTCAGGTTAGGATCTCAGGGTTCTAAGATCAAGTCCCAAGATGGTCTTTGTGCTGGGTGTGGAGCCTGCTTAAGATTCTCTCTCTCCCTCTCCCTCTTCCCCTCCCTCCCCCTCTCCCTATCTTAAAAAAAAAAAAAAGACATCCTATATTAAAAATTGGAAGACAAGGGGTGCCTGGGTGGCTCAGTCGTTAAGTGTCAGCCTTTGGCTCAGGTCATGATCCCAGGGTCCTGGGATCGAGCTCCGCATCGGGCTCCCTGCTCAGCAGGAAGCCTGCTTCTCCCTCTCCCACTCCCCCTGCTTGTGTTCCTGCTCTCTCTATGTCTCTCTCTGTCAAATAAATAAATAAAATCTTAAAAAAATAAAATCTTAAAAAAAAAAAAATTGTTAGGGGCACCTGGGTGGCTCAGTCGTTAAGCGTCTGCCTTCGGCTCAGGTCATGATCCCAGAGTCCTGGGATCGACCCCGCATCGGGCTCCCTGCTCAGCAGGAAGCCTGCTTCTCCCTCTCCCACTCCCCCTGCTTGTATTCCCTCTCTCACTGTGTCTCTCTCTGTCAAATAAATAAAATCTTTAAAAAAAAAAAATTGGAAGACAATATTGTTAAGATAGCAATACTTTCCAATTAGTCAATAATTCAGTGCAATCTCTCAAAACCCCAATTTTGTTTTGTTTTGTTTTCAGAAAATAACAAGCTGACCCTAAAATTTATCTGGAAATACAAGAGACCCAGAGTAATCAATCTTGTAAAAGAAGAACAAAGTTGGAAGACCTACATTTTAAAACTTACTGCAAAGCTACAGTAATTTTTTTTTTTTAAGATTTTTATTTTTATTTATTTGAGACAGAGAGAATGAGAGACAGAGAGCATGAGAGGGAGGAGGGTCAGAGGGAGAAGCAGACTCCCTGCCGAGCAGGGAGCCTGATGCGGGACTCGATCCAGGGACTCCAGGATCATGACCTGAGCCGAAGGCAGTCGCTTAACCAACTGAGCCACCCAGGTGCCCAAAGCTACAGTAATTAAGATAATGTGGTACAGGCATAAAGATGAATATATGCATTGAGTTCAATGCAATAGAATTGAGAGTCCAGAAATAAGAGTCAATTGATTCTTGACAAGGGTGCCAAAACAATTCACTGGGGAAAGAAAGGTCTTTTTAACAAATGGTGCTAGGACAACTGGATATCCACATGCAAAAGAATGAAGTTGGACCTTACTTCACATCAAGTACCAAAATTAACCCAAATGGATCATAGACCTAAATAAAAGAACTAAAACATAAAACTCTCAGAAAGAAACAAGAGTAAATCTTTGTGACCTTGGGTTAGGCAAAGCTTTAGATATGACCTCAAAAGCACAAACGACATTAAAAAAATGGGTAAATTAGACTTTATCAAAATTGGAAACTTAGGCTCAAAGGATAACATCAAGAAATTGAAATGACCCACAGAATGGAAGAAAATGTTTGCAAATCATATCTGATAGAGCGCTTACCTCCAGAATATAAAAAAATACTTACAGTTCAACAATAAGACAACTCAATTTTAAAATGGGCAAAGGATTTGTATAGACATTTCACCAAAGAAGGTATACAGTTGACCAACAAGTACATGACAAGATGCTCAACGTCATTAGTCATTAGGGAAATGCAAATCAAAACCCCAATGAGATACCACTTTACACCCACTAGAATGACTATAATGGAAAAGACTGACCATACCAAGTGTTGGCAAGTATGTGAAGCAACTAGAACTTTCACATACTGCTGGTGGGAATGCAAAATGGTGAAGCTGCTTTGTAAAATAGTCTGGGGGTTTCTCGAAATGTTAAACATAGAGTTTCCATATGTCACAGCAATTCTATGCATAGGTATATACCCAAGAGAATTGAAAACATGCTCAC